CTCTATTTGTTTTCCAGACTCATCCACGCTCTTCCCACATTTATGACTGTAAAGCATCTTGGAGTTCACTTTGGACCCACATCTCGCTTGTCTAACTAATGCATCCAGTTCCCCTTTCAACTCCTGGACACGAGCCTTTCTTTCAGCAAACCATCATGTGAAACTTCTGCATATTCTTCCTTAGGCTTAGACATCATACAATAGCCTGCATTTTCACTAACCTTAGTCGCCTTTTCCTTTTCTATTAGCATCCTTTGACTAATATTCTGCTGGCATAGGTCATCCTTTGTCGACTTCCTTCGTCTACCGTTTGACGTTTAGCCTTATCTCCAACAACAAATGAATCAACTACTGCCTGAAACACCCATGAGATCGATGCCCATTCTTCTCCATTTGCACCTTCCGGCACCATCACGACTCCTTTCTGACGCCTCTCCCCATCCAAAGTGCAATTGTCAGGTACCTACTGCGGCTATTCACACATCGTTTTGCTAAAAAAGCTCTTGAAGACTCGTTGAACTTTGAGACAACATCCTCTTACCTATTGGTCACCTTCAACTTATCCACCATATTCACCATCCAAAGTGCACCAAACCTTTCCATACAGATTTCATTTGATATCTTCGCTCCCCACTCTGTCATTCTAACAATGCCAAAATTGTTAACAGATTGAATGCCATACCATATGAATTTGTGAAACTCCTTTATCTCTACTCGAACCCTACGATTGAATACCATACCATATGAATTGTCCAACTTTTTCCTCTGATTGTGTGTAAATGGCGCAACTGATGGTAAAACCGGTATCCCGAATGATCTGGATTGAGCAAGAATAAAATTCTGGTTTTCCCGCGCACGCACCGGCAGAAGCGTCACCGGAGCGACGCTAGCTCCGCGCCATGGTCTAGTTAGGGTCGGATTCGTCTACAGTCTATCGATAGTGCGCATGTGCCGGAGCAGTGATCGGTTCTCGATGAATCTGGTTTTGGATCTCAGATCGCACCACCTCTCTGCCTAGTTTTCTCCCCTTGCCACTAGGTTCTTCGGCTCCTAAGGTTTCCGCACCAACGTAGGATGGCTCGCCTCTAGTCAGAGCAATGGTTTGAGCGGCGGCGCTAGGGTTTCTACCTAGGGCAGCCGCCTGTGGATTTGGATTAATATGTGGCGTGAGGCCGGTGGTTTGGGTTTGCCGGTCAACGAGTGATTGTCGTTGCCGGCGTCGATGTGAGTAGGTGATTGGGTAGTGTCTTAGTTGGGAATTGGTTGGCTGAAAGGCTTTGATATTAGGGGAGGGAGCTCCATCACATTCTCAGGTTTGCAGGACATGAATTTTGAAATGTGTAGAGTACTTTATAAAATACAGAATAAGCATGCTTTAGCTTTCTTTACTTGACACAGAGAGGAAAACAGCAAATCTTTGTAAAAACCTTATACCTTGTCTTGTGCAATTCACTGAGCACTGGAAATGAACATTAGGTGTATGTTTGGCAAAAAAATTTCAAGTTTATAAGCTGTTCAAACATAATTTTTTTACCGTACATTCCTTTGAATTTGTGACTTTATCAACTTTTTAACTACACATACATTCGGACTTACTGTTTATAAGCACTTATAACTTAGCCAAGCAAGCACTAGATCTTCTAGTTGAGGAATAGGATTCTTGAAGTTATCCTTCAAATTTAAAGGTTCATATGATCCAAGCTTCTTTTCTTCTCCTACTTTTCTTATGTGTTTTGGGCTGGGGGTGTTCACAAAGTTGATTATTGTTTGGTAATCTCTTTGCAGCTTGAGAACTTAGCTAATGATTGAATGTAACCCTTGGTAGTTTGTTGGCATTTGGGGGTGATGTCGAGGAGAGGAAAACCCAACATAGTGCTTTCATGGAGTTTTTGTATTAGTTTTGCACTTCAAGGTAGACAGTTTTGCCAAAAGAAAATAGATTATTTGCTTTTATTGATTGTTGTTACAATTTTGAATAACCCAAAGTAGAAAAAGGACATACTAGCATATTGTTGATTGTCTGTGACATTGCAGTGCTCGATGGATAGGAAATCATGGGTTTTCCATTGGGATTGATGATGTCCAACCTGGGAACGAACTGAATGAAAAGAAGAAAAATACAATTTCTCAAGAATACAGGAAGTGTGATGAGTTCATACACGAATATGAGCATGGACGTCTTAAGTTGAAAACTGGATGTGATGCTCCTCAGACCCTTGAAGCTCAAATAACCTCTGTATTAAACAGAATTCGAGAAGAAACTGGAAATGTAAGAAATTTTTTTATTTGTTTTCTATATACTGATTTTTGTAATTTCTTAAATACTATTTATACTGTGAATGGGTGTATTTGGCTTACCTCACAACCATGCCCTGGACAGTGCAGACACTGTTGTCTTGATTACTTCTTTACCTATTTTCTGTTGGCTCATCCAGTTTAGATTCTAGTCGTCGAAAGGTTAGTTTCTGTACAGGACACGTGGCAACATGACTTCTTTGAACACTTTGTGTTCAACCGTTTGCCCTGTGTTTGATTC